AGATGTTGATACAGACTCTGGTACTCACTGGGGTAATATTTAGCTGTGTAAATGCTTCAGCATAGAAAAATTTTTTTCAAACAATTCACATTTTACTAGCTACTAAATCATACTCCTGGGTAGAAAAAACAGTTTCCTGCCTAAGGCCACAACAGCAATAACACGACATTAATTGTGTTAATGTTGTGAATTTGATTGATTAGACTACAACTGGTGACAGTTAGTGATTGTGTTTGGCAGGCCTGGAAAAAAAATATTTTTGTGCCTCCAACCATGAAATTTATCTTGATCAAATTCCTCCAGCACCAAATGTTATCTTTACATTATTATAGCTAAACAGTAGTACATTTAGTGGTTTGGAGCAAGCATAAATATCAAATTTAAATACTGATATGTATTAAATTCTGATGTGAACAAAAAAAAAGAAAAGTAATAAATAAATAATTTTTTTTTCTAAAATGCCTCCGGGGTAATGGTCAATGCATCCGACCAACACACATTTTCCAGCCTTGGTGTTTGAGAGCACTTACTATGGTTTGGTCTAGTCGGAAGAACGCCATTTGACACGGCTTGTTCATCAGATTACTGAAACAGATGAACGCATCTGGAGGTTCCAAGTTAAGTAAAAATACAGCTGCGATGAATGACATGCCTTGAACCTAAGAAAAAAAAATGCATGTTTAAGCCCTATAAAAAATATTATTAGTTTATCACCCTATCTGGGCAGGAAAAGTGATGAGGGAGGGAGGTTTTTTTTTTTTTGGGGGAGGCTTTTTTTTTTTTTTATTTTGCTAAAGCCAAATATAACCCCTGGTTTGTTTGCTGGTGCACTGATATTCAAAGTAAAACATGATTTAGATAATGCAAACAATATCTACTAACTATTTAATAAAATAAATGAAAAAAATATATAAATAAAATTAAAAAAAATAAAAAATGTTAAAAAAATTTTTTTTTTTTAGTACCATAAAAGGCATGTGCGCGAGGGTGATAAATTAATAATTTTTTTTATTGGGCCTTATAAAACACTATTGTAAAAGGACACAAAATTACATTTATGTATTTACATTCATATGGAGAGAATTTCTTATACCTTTTTTTGTGAATTTATTTTTTTAAAGATTGTCAGAGGAGGACGGAAAAAAAAAATAAATAAAATTATGTTTGCTTATTTAACAAATAGTTTTGCCAAAAAACATCCAGATGGAGGAAAAAATAAAAATAAAATTTTATTTGTGAATGTAAACAGTGTAGTAATGGGATGGTTAAATGCTTTAAATTTATATAATTAGGAAGAAATATACATATCTTATTTGGAGATTTCTAGGAAGTGGCAGGCATAATAAAAATAAAGGAAAACGAAAAAAATATCCATTTTTTCGTGGCAACTGGTGCGCTAATTGGCTAAAAACAAAATTTTATTTTTATTCGAAATCATCATTATTGGCGTGCAGTGTGTTGGCTGAACAAGGTATTAAAAAGTCTTGCCTAACCACTAAAAGAATCTGAATGTGAAACCATATTTATAGAGGGTGATTCTTGCAGCATATCCTAGAAGATCAGATTATATTCAGGCTTTCTTAAATAAATTAAATAACATGATACTTTTATCAGCAAGTCTCTTGAGGCTTAGGGAGTGGAGTTGCTTTTAGTCGTGAGTAAAAGTCCTGCTCTAGGAATCGAACCCAGGACCCTGAAATTAGAGGGCAAGCATCTTAACCACCAAGCTATTCAATTCCACTGAAGTTTGACATGAGAAGAAGAAAAAAAAAATGAGTTGTTGGTAACATTTGAAGATAATAATCTACAGGAAGCTTGCATTTCCTTATCTTAAGTAATTCCACATGGGAGGACACATTCTAATATTATTCTTGAAAATATTAACACATGCACTGTAACAGTGAAAAATCACACAACAGAATAACAACAAAACAGTATATTGTTGACAGAAAGGAAGGGGGTGGGGTCAGGAAATGGACAAAAGGGAGAAGATGATAATCACATCAATAATATGACATGATAATGATAATTATGATAAATTGATAAAAATAAATATGTCGATTGCATGCTTTAAAAATGAGAGTAATTCTACTTACATATCCGACATCAGGTCTATAACAAGCATAGGCTCCCAGAATGCTATGCAGCATATCGTAATAAGGACCACCCTAAATATAAAACATTAAAAAGTGTATGTTTTGCATAAGAATATTAGAATAACTCAAAAATTTATTGAATACTTTAATCCTGGACCTTTTAACAATTTTTCAAGATGGCCGTTCAAAATGTGAAAAAATAATAGCAATAAGTATACCTATGTCCAAACTTTTACAGCAGATTCGAAACCAAGATGGGAGTTTTGAATATGCATAATACCGCTGTGAAGAGAAGTTATTACAGTGTATGGCAATTACAGTGTATGGCAATACTGCTCAAGAAAATCCTGGCATAAATTATTACTTTTATAATATCTATTTATTTTTTCAATACACATCGCAATGTTGATTCAGTTTTAAGCTGAAGCAGTACAAAACTGGGACAGAACTCTGTTGATTTATCCTATGACATTTTAAAAACAATAAACATAATTAGAATACTTGAGATAGTTTTACCTTTTGAAAAATGCATAGATGAGGAAATGTTCGAGAAACATCAAGTTTAATCAACTCCATACTGGCCTCACGACTTGCTTTATGAACTGAAATAGAACAAGAAGAAATATATAAACAAATAATGGAAAAAAAACTGTACTGGAACTGGAGGCAATGTTCCTGAACACCATTTTCTAGGGCAAATGTGCTGAGTCTCATCACTGTTTACGATTAGGTGATATTTTTTTATTTCTTCTTTTATAAAGATCGTCAGAGGCAGGCGAAAAAAAACAAAACATAAAAATAAATTGTTTTCTTCTTGTTTAGCAAATAGTTCTGCCAAAAACATCCCGTCGGAGGATGAAATAAGAATAAAATGTTATTGTATATAATTATAAGTGCTTCAGAAATAAATTAAATATCTTTATCTGTCATGTTACATAAAGCATACTTAAAGGTTATTATGACAGGATCACGGTTGAAATAACACGGTTTACAAATTTATTATTAGTACAAATCTATCATTGCATATGGACTTAACTAATTAATAGCCAGGTTGAAATTTGTAATAAAATCAGCTTTATTCTTTAGAAGTGAGTCTTGATATCACGAAGCATTCAATCCTGACTATGTGGGATACTAATTCTTATTACTTAATTGAGGCTTTTCATATCTTCATCTGTAGAATATGAAATTACAAAAGGCGTAATTACAGTACAGTTGAATAATACTTAAATACTGAAAACTTCTATAAGTACATTATATATGAATCACATCGGTGGCCAAAACTTTTACTTAAGGCTTTATTACACATGGATAGTAACTTTGATAATTTCCGTTTTAAATTTCTTAAATGTGTTTCCAATGTTTTCTCAAAATGTGAATCAGTAAATTTATTTAAATTAATATGTGATACCATTGATTATCCCATCAGAAATTGGACCAACTTCATTTTGAATAAACTTAAAGAACAAGCATTTACTGATTGCAGAAGTAATCTTGATCAAAAATCTTCCCTTTCAGATACTCAATTATTAAGGAAAGCCCTTGCCAAGAAAAATATTTACTTGAAACTACAGATTTTTAGGGTACTTGCATAAAATTTAGATTACGCTCCAATACTTTACCGTTACAAAGACGAATCTCAAGTTGGTCCGATAATAATGATGGCATTTGTTCTATTTGTAGCTCTAATATTCAATTGAAGATATTAGACATTTTCTTTTTTCATGTCATT